ACGCGCAAAGCCAATCCGCATGCTATGGGCCCGGTTTTTCTTCGCTTTTTGGGCGCCCCCCGTGGCACCCGGATCGGCCCCATAGCATCGGGGCTGGCTTTCGGAAAGGAATTTTGGAAATGTGCCAAAATTTGCGACGTTTCCCAAGTGGCCGCCATACCGTGCGGCATAACGTTACTCACGGTGGTATGGCGGGCCCATAAAAAGCAAAGCCGCGGCCAAGGCTGCGGCCGGCAAAAAAACGCCCACGACCTCACTACCCCCGCCCCGGCGGCTATATTTGGTGTTACGCATTCAGACAGTAGCATTTCCGGTCTGCTTTCTCTCTCTCTCTCTAGTACTGCAACAGCTTTTGGATTTGGCGACCACGAGGACGAGCATGATGAAGATCCCGGACGATTACATAATTTCATCCAGCAGCGATTTCGATTTAGTAATGTGCTATTCAAGAAGAAACAAATTTTTACACTAAACTTCTATATCTACAACTACGTACTTGCTTATCGGTTGCCTAGTACCCGCCAAGCCTTTCTGCAGAAGTTGTTCCCGCACGTAGAGGTCCTCCTCTTTCTGCGATTCGGGATCCATCTTCAGGGTACTAGACGAGGACAACAGCTCCGACTGAATTTATTCATCAAATTTTTCAAATCATTTCTCTACAACTGCGATCGAATATTAAGCGCTTCTCTTCAGAAATACTGACTCGAGTACAAGAATACTTCTAGCAGCTGTTTTATTTTGATTTTCGCCTGCTATGAAGTTGTCAAAAACAAAATAACCCCATTTTTAGTTTGACTTGCTCACCACCATGTCGGACCACGAGGAGGATTTTTTCAACCTCGGAGGCCCCACCGCCGGCCTCGATTTCGATTTGGATGCCGAGCTCGAAGCGGAGGCGAAAAAAGAGGAGGAAGACGAGAAGAAGCAGTTGAGGTTGCAACAAGAGCGACTGGAAGAGGAACGACGGCAAGACGAACAAGCGGCTGCGCGCGCTGCGGCGGAAGCGCAAGCGGCAGAGGAAGAAGAACAGCGAAAGCAAGCTGTTGAGCTTGAAGACGACAACATTTTTCCGCCGGAAGAACAAGAAGTTCACGCAGCGGCTTCGGGAGAAGATGCTGGTGCTGCACCTCCTCCTTTGCCGGCGTCGTCTGCTGAAGAAGCTGATCAGGATCATGAGGGAGAACGAGATGCTCCCGGCCGTCCGTCTGTCAACTCCACGTCATTTAGCAAGGCGGGAAACAACAACAAAAGTAGGGTTTCTGTCCCGGGTTTTACCGCGTCGAAAGCGGCAGCTCCTTTCGCCACAAAGAGCTCGGCTCCGAGTTCGAAGGCGAAGCCGGGTGGTGCGGCTGCAGCTGCTGCTTCGGGTGAGGTACTAGATGGAAATAAGGCCAAGAAAACCTCTACAACCTCTAGCTCTGTCGTCCTGCGCCCCCGCGAGGGGGCCCCAGGAGGCGGAGTGAAGAGTCCAACCTCCGGTGGGGGTGCTGGAAAAGATAAACCAGATGCGATTGCAGGCTCCTCTTCTCGTCCTCTGGTACTGAAACCCAGGAAGGATGTGGAGAGAGAGGAGTCCTCTGGGATGTTAAAGCGAACGGTTTCCGAGCAGGACCAACCAACTCCGGCTTCATCCTCTGGAAGGCGACAGCCGCCACCGAAAGTGAAAGTTGACTTAAGACCGAAAAGTACAACTACGGGTCGGGATAGTGGTCGAGAACATGAAAGGGTAGAAAAAGATGAGAAAGCCTCACAAAGAACTGCTGGTGCCTCGTCAAAGGAGGAAAAAACTGCGCAACATGACCGTGATTCCGGGGAGGTCGTACAAGGAAATATTAAACAGGTGGATCTCCGCCCGCGGTACCGCGAATCTGGGGAAATGAACGATAAAACCGGTAGAGTGGAATTGAAGCCCAATGCTGCGAAAAAGAAGGAAAAGGACCAACAGGACAAGATTACGAAAGCGTTGCTGGAGAAGAAAGAAATCGGTCCTCCGGTCAGAATGACCAGTGCCTATGGGTACGATACGAAAAAGGAATCAGCGAATCAGGACAATAAAGACAAGGAGAGAAAGAAAGACAAAGAACTACGTGGTGTTGAGAATACTAAAAGTGCAGCAGCGACAACACAGTCATCCACTAAAAAGGTCATCGCTTCTGGTCTCCCGACGGTGTCCTCTGCAGCTTCTGCCGGTTTGATTCCAAACACGAAATTCCCAGATCCGCTCCCGAAAGCTTCGTCGTCGATGAAAGCTGCAGTGGGCAACAACCCATTCCGCAGCGCCAGCAGCTCTTCCGGAAGCGGCAGTGCAGCCGGGCCGGCGGACGAGAAATTTTACGAAGGTGGAGAAAGACGTTTGAAGAACCAAAAACATCCATCTCGAGAACAGGAAGGTCCTACGAAGCGAGGCGTCGACGACGAGGTTGCGCGAAATACGGCGAGGGCGCTGAAGTTAAAAACCAGTCGGGGAAGGGAGAAGGAGCAGCTCGCGTTTTCGACCGCGTTCAGCTCCGTCGTGATTCTGAAAGAGGACGAGGAAGAGTCCGGTCCGCTGGCCTCGTACCCGTTCTTAGCAGGGGCGTCCGCGTCGTCTTCGGGTGGCGAGGAGAAGCATGTCCGGCCAGAAGATGGAGAACGAGAAGTAGAACACCGTCGTCGTACTCGGGACGATAGGGGTAAAAGCACCAGAACGAGGGATAAAGAAGAAAACAAGCTCACGAAGAAATTGGACAGTCCGCTGGAGGATCTGATACCCGGCGCTGGTAAGAGCGACAGTAGGGAAAAGCGCCGCGGCTCCCGCTCTTCCTCAAGAGTGCTGTCGCGTGAGCGCCGCAGGAGACGCTCTTCCTCCCGCCGCAGGTCGACTAGGCGGCGCCGGAGATCGTCTTCGCATAAGGAGAGGTCACGAGACCGCGGTGGGAGGGTCGGGAAGCGGGATGCTGACACCAAGGTTGACGATCCCAAAGTAAATAAAAATGCGGAGCTGAAGAAAGAGAAAACAGCCAAGAAAAGCAGGAGTCGCAGCAGAATCCGAGAACTACGGGATAATAGGGAAAGGAAGAGAAGCAGATCGCCGAAAGATGTGGGTAGAAGAAGCCCGTCGAAAAGGAAGGAAAATCAAGGGACCACCAGTTCTAAGTGGGACAGCAAGGAAAAGGTGAAAGAGTCAGCGACCGCTCAGCATCTGAACAGGGCACCGCCGGATTCTTCTTCGACTGCGGCTTATGAAAGTGCACAACTCCTCCTCCCCCTCATTTGTATTTGCTGAACAGCAATACAAGCGTCAGCAAGAATACAGGTTTTGCATGATAAATTTGGAGAGGATTGTAGTGCTGCTTGGGCTGCCAGAAGTTGTAATGCAAGCAGTGCCAAAAGCCAAGGCGTAAATTAGACATTTTGCATGACAAATGAGGGGGAAGGGGAGTTGTGC